ATAACATGTTTTTATGAAATTTTAGGGCCCTTTTGAATAGGAGGAAATTAATAATCTTATATATTTGAAATCCAATTGAAATCTAAGAAAATCTATAGATTTTTAATAGGAAAAAATTTATATAGAGCTGAAACTCTAAACAATCAATTTGAGCCTACCTAAAAACTTTCACTAGAAGAGGTTGTTTTGATGCCCAAATATCATCAAATTGATCATATCGACATTAAGATTCATGGACATGAGAAAAAAATGGATTTCAAGTTTTTGAAATAGTGTATTTTGTAACGTATTTTTTTGAACATCAATTTTCAAGTTTTCATAGATCTATTGATCTACACTATTTTTTAAGCTTTAAACTTTATAAATAAAGATGAAAATATATTTTGAGGTTATCACAAATATTTTCAGTATTGAAATCACATTTCTCAATACTATTTAAAGGTAAGCTCTAATTTGATTGTTCAGAGCCTAGGCTCTATACAAACCGTGTCCTTTTCAATATCAAGGATTTTTGTCATGGATTCCTCAAATCTCTTGTTTGGATAAATTACACAAAATTCAGGGAATCCTTGCCATCATTTCCATGTTCATTGTTTGGTAACAAAACTTGATATAGTTTCTCTCTCTAAAAGTTTAGTATATTCTCTCTCTAAAACTCAAAGTTTGGTATAGTGTGTCTATACAAATTTTGAGATAGTTTATCTCTCTCAAATTTGATATGGTTTATCTCTCCAAATTTTAATATACTTTCTATCTAAAACTTAAAATTTGAAATTGTTTCTTTAAAATTTTTGAGATAGTTTCTCTCTCTAAAATATTTAGGTGCTTTATCTCTCTAAAAGTTAGTATAGTTTCTCTTTCTACAATTTTAAGATTCTATTTGTCAAAAACTTAAAATTGAGATAGTTCCCCTCTTCAATAATTTTGAGATAATTTATCTCTAAACATTTTTAAGTAGTTTCACTCTCTCTAAAATATGACAGTTTTTCTCTCAAAATTTAAGATACTTTCTCTCTCTAAAAGTTAAAATTTTGTGATAAATTATTTCTAAAAATTTTGTGATAGTTTCTCTTTCTAAAATTTTGGTATGTACTTTATCACTCTGAGATTTGATATAGTTACTCTTTTAAATTTTAAGATGCTTTCTCTCTCTAAAACTTCAAGTATGAGATAATTTATCTCTCTAAAATTTTGAAATAGTTTATCCCTTTAAAATTTGATATAGTGTCTCTCTATTAAAATTTGAGATACTTTTTCTCTCTCCAAAACTCAACTTTTGAGATTTTCTCTCTCTATTTTTTTTGAGATAGTTTCTCTCTCTGAAAATTTCATGTACTTTATCTCTCTAAAATTTTAAGATAGTTGTTCTATCTCTAAAATATAAATTTCACGATAGTTTATCTCTCTAAAATTTTAAGATACTTTCTCTCTCTAAAACATAAGTTTAGCGATAATTTCTCTCTCCAAAAATTTCGAGATGGTTTCTATCTCTAAAATTTTTTAGGTAGTTTCTCTCTCTAAAATTTGATATAATTTCTATCTCAATATTTTTTTCTTTCACTCAAAATTCCATATAGTTTCTCTCTAAAATTCAAAAATTGAGATAGTTTCTCGCTAAAAGTCAAATTTTAAGATAGTTTCTCTCTAAAAAAACTTGACAATTTCTCTCTCTAAATTTTATTTTTTTTGCAGTTTCTCTTTCTAAAATTTATAATAATTTATCTCTAAGAGTTGAAGAATACTTTCTCTCTCTACAATTTGAAGAGTAATTTATTTCTCTAAAACTTAAGATTTGATATAGTTTCTCTATCCAAAAAATAAAATATGAGATTGTTTCTCTCTATAAATTTTTTGAAATAGTTTATCTCTTTAAAAATTTGAGATAGTTTTTTCTCTAAAATATGATAGCTTTTCTCTAAAACTTAAAGTTTGAGATAGTTTCTCTCTCTAAAAATTTGAGATAGTTTATATTTGGGTACTTTCTCTCTCTAAAATTTTAATGTACTTCATCTCTCTAAAATTTTAACTCGTACTTTATCTCTCTAAAAGTTGAAATTTGAGATAGTTTCTCTCTCTAAATTTTTTGATATAGTTTATCTCTTTAAAAAGAATTAGATACTTTCTCTCTCTAAAATTTTCATAACTACCAAATGTTCCCTATGTTTTAGGTTGAGGGAGTCCATGAGTGAAATCCATAGGCTTTGGAAATAAAAAAAAACAAGTTTTATTGTGGAAATGAAATCATGAAAATTTAGGTCTTATTTCGATGATTATGATTTTCTTGATTTTAAATATCCTAGTCATTAAACAATCGAAATAGTAGATTTTGGAATATCCAAGATATTAGAAATCCACGCCTTAAAATCCGTGTATCCAAATTCCAAACAATTGAATCAAAATATCTAGGTAAATGTTCAATTGTTCATGTCTTATGAATAATTTGATGATTTTTCAAAGACAAATAATTATGAATTTAAGTTTTATAAAGCTGAAATGTAAATTGGGTGAAATTTTCTAGAAAAAAAAATCGAAAATAAATTCAAATGCAGAAGAAAAAGTAAAATTCATAAAATATCACAGTCAATCTCAATAGATTTGGAGCGCATATATTATGTTCCCACTAGAGCATACTATGAATTTACTCTCTTACTCTTACACCTATTTAAGAGAATTTTTTTCTTTGGTCTAAATTTTTTGGAACCATATAAGAACTACCAGATAATTATTTCTAAAAGATAAATATCTGAATTTTGAGTTTTGTGATACTTAGATCTAGCCTTAAAAAATTGGAAGGTTTCTATTCAATCTCGAGGCATTAGTTTATTATCATTATTATAGTATGTAGAGAGTTTATTTCGGAATTTGTTTTGATGAAATTTCTAAAAAATTGGAAGGTTTCTATTTAATCTTGAGGCATTAGTTTATTATTATTATAGTATATAGAGAGTTTATTTCAGAATTTGTTTTGATGAAATTATTCTATGGTTGTAAAGATTACATCCCAAATTTTAATATCTAAATAATATCCCTAGCATGTGTTTTACCCAAGGGAGTAAATGGATAGTATTACTCCCGAGGGAGTAGGAAATATTCTTACGTCTTTAATTTACATATCCTTGATTCATTGACATCGCTCAACATTAGCATTTGAGATTTTGGATCGAAATGTAGGCGTTGTGTATGTTATTTATCAGATTCAACTTGCTAGCTTTTTGTTTGACTGCTAACTTAGGCCCTGGAAGAAATAAAACACCCAAACGATAATTAATACATTGCTTTCAAATTGCACACATATTACAATCGAGAAAGTTTCTTATCGTAATAACATGAAATTTGGGGATAAAATAAATCATTATTATAACAATAACTTATTGTAAAGTAATAAACAAAAATTTATTAAATACATATAAGAGATGAACTATTTAATATGTTACATGTATCTCATTAAGAACATTAAAATACACATCACCGATAGTTGAAAAAGGTTAAACTGTTAAATTGTTCAAAAGTCAAGTATATTTTAATAAGGGATTGCATACAATAAAACTATTTATCTTTTATACAAGGTACAAGGTGGTCACAATTACTTACAACCATTCGATGGGAAATTTGATCAATCTATTGAACAAATTGAATTCACAAAAATTTATCAAAATAAGTATAATATATGAACCATTTAATATTTTACCCATATATTTTGATCCACTTACAAAAAAAAAAAAAATTAAAAGAGAAAGGTGAAATGTTTTAATGGATTATCAATCTATTTCTCATGGGCAGTTCCATAAATTCCCATTGAATTTAACCAAACAAAACAATAAAAAGACAATGAGTTTGCATAAGGTTGCAACTTTATACAATAGAAGTAAGGTGCACCTTGAAAATCTGTAGATTAGATAATTATGAATTTGGAAAACCTTCTAATTGATCATCTCGACATCGAGATGTGTGGATACAAAGAAAAATAGAATTTCATCTCCTAAAATTATGTACCTTGTAACAAGTTATGTAGACCTTTTATTTTCTAGATTTTTAAGCATTTATGCTCTATCAACACTATTTTTAAAATTTTAAATTTTTTAATTAGGATTGGATATTAGTTTTCAAGCTATTGTAAAATTTTTAATATTGAAATTTTATTATTTAACTTAATTTTAAAATACACCTCACATTATAAATTTTTTAATGCGCTATTTTTATTTTTTTAACAAAATTTAAAAATACATCTTACTCGAATAGTACATACACAAGCTTCTGCAAATAAGAGGACTGGGAAGGAATTACAAGGGTTTATTCTCTCTCAAATTAGAGGTGAGAAGAGAGAGTGACAGCAATCGAGGGCATTTTGGTCAATCCATAAAAAAGAGGGGGGCGATAGTTCCCGTGACCCCTCATAAAGCAAGGGGTATTTCAAAGTAAGGCACCTAAAAAGCAGGGGCAAAACGGGAATCATCACTCCTTTTTATTAATTCGTTTACTATTATTAATCTATTATTATTATATTATTTATTATTATTATCAACACCAGACCAAACAACACTGCTTCGGAAGCTAACGTGCGGCTCGTCGCATCTTTGCAGTGAGTTAGAGGGAGAAACGAATGGACACAGTTTTAGAGAGAGAAACAAGGAGAGAGAAAAGTTGTCATTAATGGTTAGAGAGAGAAACTGAGGGTGGAGAGAGAATAAAGAGGATAGAGAGAGAAAGAGAGGTGAGAGAAGCGGGGAAGGAACCGAGGAGAGAGAGGGACACGAGAGAAAGTAGCCATTAATTGTTGGAGAGAGAGTGAAGGGATTTTAGAGAGAGAAAGAGCTGTGAGGAATGAAGGGTCTTAGATTTTAGAGTACGCAGAGGGTGGAGAGATAAGACAGAGAGAAGGGACAGGTAGAGAGAGGAAGGGCATTTTGGGGAGGAGGTTAAGAGAGAGAAAGGACAGTTTAGAGAGAGAGTGTGCGTGGAAAGAGAAAGGACATTTGGGAGAGTGTGTGGAGAGAGAAAGGACACTTTAGGGAGAGTGTACAGTGAGAGAAAGGACATTTTAGAGAGAGAAAGAAGAGAGAGCTCCTTGATGCTCGTGGGAACACAGAGCGAAGATCGCGGACTTGAGGCCTATAGAAGTCCCATTTAAGCGGTGGATTTCTGCCTCTCCTCCTTTACTCCTCGCTCCTCCAAATTCACCTCCATTGATGCATCCCCTCTCTCTCTCACTCTCTCTTCTGAAGCTTCTTTGAGCTCAGCTTTAATGGCGGTTAAAACCCTCTGAGCGACCTCCTAAAGCTTCAACTTGTGTACATTCACCCACTTATAACTAGAATCCTTCTTACATTCCCTTACGATTGTCCATTTCCGTGGCTGTGAACCTGAATTCACAAGATCTGGTTTTCAATCGTCTGTAAAACCCTAAGGTTGACCATAATTCCGAGCCACAATGGAAATGTGAATCATGGCGAGCTCCAGTGGGGGAGGTAACAGTAGGAGTAGCATGGCTACTGTTAATGCAGCTGCAACTGCAATAAACTCAGGTGACCACCCTAGGTTCCCAGCCCGAGAGGAGGTAAGCTTCTAAATATTTTATAGGCCACATAAACTCATGTTTTCAGTTTATTTTTTGGTATTTTTATAGAATTTATGGTTTGAGATTTGAGGTTTCTTTGGTTGCTTTTTGTAGATTTAGTCAACACGTTAGGAATTCGTTGCAGAATAATTAATTTCAGTTATTTAATTTTTCTTTTTTTTTGGAGAAAATCGTTCCTTTCTGCATTCCTTTTTCAGGAATTTTTTGCAGAAGTAAAGAATACTTTTTTTTTCCTTTTTTTTTAGGTGTACTGACATTTTCACATGTTGAAAATACAATGCACATAATCTGTTGTTTTATTGATCTTTTTGGAAGGTATCGGGGCAAATTACCTCATTTAATTTCTGGATTCCTTACTGATTTCCAAGGATTTAGGTCACAAGCGAACATATATGATGCAGGATGATCTATCTGCTTCTTTTCAGTTTCTCTCTTTTTGTTGGCTTTTGCTAGGAATTAATGGCCTGTATTTTAAGTTATCAATATTATTTTTTTTAAGATTTATTTCATAGTTCACAACTCAGATCTGTGGTTTTATTCCCCATTGTCTCATTAGTATGTGTAGATCTCAGAGCTCAGCAATCTAGTTTGTCAATCCATTTAATTTTTATTTTTTTATTTTTTTATTTTTGGCTTGTTTGGCCAACAGAGCAGTTTATATTGGTTTCATCTACAAACACTTTATTTAGTATTTTGGTGACAAATTGTCGATAGAGCGGTTGGTTTCTTTTTATTTATTTTTGGCAAGGGGACCTCTAAGTGGTCATTTTGCTTATAAGTAGATATTATACACTATGTAATGGGGAGACTAATGGATCGAAAATTTACATTTGTTCAATTTTCTCCCTTATTAACAGGATTAAGGTTATATTTTTAAAATTTTCTTCCTGATGGAATGTGATGAGGTATCTGGGACTTTTGTTTACTTATTCTTATCTTTGAAAGAAAAAAGATGAAATCTAGTCCTTTCTGCTGAATGTCACCGCGGAGTTGCAACCTTTCTCTATCTCTCAAAGAAATTGAAGATGCCTCTTTTATTGAATTTGGGGGCCACAAGCACCGGCCACTTTTACTTTTTAATATCCACTTTTCTTTTGCTCTGTGTAGTATTCCCTAAACTTTTCCATTGATTATCAACTTTCCATTGTTATATTTAATGTTTTTATAAAATGTGATTGTTTGGACATATCGGTCGATTCATAAAAACTTGAAAATGGGTGAAACTTGTTTATCAATACAAAGAAAAATATAAAACTTGCCAAAAAATGAGAAATGCGGATGCGGTTTTTTGTAACATATCAGTCGATTCGTGAAAACTTGAAAATGGGTGAAACTTGTTTATCAATACGAAGATAAATATAAAATTTCCAAAGAAAGAGAAATGCTGCTGCAGTTTCCCTATCTTCTCTGTATCTATGAATTGTAGTCATGTTGTGTGGCAACTCAAATTTTTGGTTTAAGTCTCTTCCCGACTTATGTTGTTGTTGGCATTCAATGAAAGTCAAACAGCGAATGCTCAATTGTGATGGAAGAGCTTCGGTAGAGCCTCTTTATTGTTCTTCCTTTCCTTTCGAATGGCATTGGCCCAAGCATCTCTCAAGTTGGTGAGACCACTATTCCTTTACCTATTTCTGGATTTGCAGTGGTTACAGTATAATTTGTGTGCCAGTAGCCGATTTTTGTAGCCTTATAGGGTTTTTTGGTTCTGGGTTCAATGTACTTTTTCTTTGCATCCTAAAGAGTCAAAAACAAATCATAGTGATCTAGAGGTGCAGTCTCTTCAGCTTTTTTGACTCTCACCCTTATGTCAAAGGGTTTATATGCTAGACCTTATGAGAATTGTTAAGACTGATAAGATTGAATGCCTATGCGTGCTTATTTATCACTAAATTGTTATAGTGGACTTCTGTTTATACTTTAGTACTCTTATGGTCTGCCTGTTAGTTTAAAACAAATGTGCTTTTAAAAGAAAAGAAAATGGTCAGTCGGGTATCCAATTGTATATTTTAGACTTCAAAGGTAAATAATAGCTAATTTCTTGGAATATTTGGTAGGTACCCTACTTTGTGCCGGTCCTTATTTATTATGTCAAAGGTACTCACATCAGTTCAACTCGCAAAAGTGAACATTATCCGTCTGAAACTTTATTTGTGATCAAGGGAATACTTAGGTTACCTAATCTCTGCTAGGTCGAAGTTTAATTGAGTTTCAAATGGATTTGACCTGATTTCCTTGTTGAAGGCCATGCTCTTAAGTCAGGCTCTGTGAAGTTACTGCAATAACCAAGAAAATTAGAAACTAAACTAACATCGTTAGTTGGCAAGAATGAATATAAGCAAGTTAATGTTTGAACTTTTCACATCCAACTACCTCTTCTTTTACTCTGCAGATGTTTGTGAATTTTCTAAAGCATCTACTATGCTCTAGATTCTAGAACAACTGTACTGCTATCAGGGTTAATGCTTTTGGTCGGGCATTTGTTTCGGGCTCTGCTGTGCGCACTGTGGGTATTGCAAATATGCAAAAGGGGGGAACAATTTTCCCACCATTACGTAAGCTGTCATCTGATTTAGAATCGAAAGCTTCATCCTCATATTTGGATAAAGCTTGGGGCCACATCTGAAATTGGTTCATCTTGGATTGTCATCCTGTCCATCATTTCCTTTTCTCTTTTCCAAGAACGTTTTATGAAACTCTTTGACCCCCGAATTTGGAGTTGTGCTATTTTGGTGAAGGATGGGATGGTTATCCTGGTGTTTCTATTTAGGTTTGGGCGACTTGTGTTTAAGTATATAAATACAATCTGGTATTGATAGTGCTCGTCTATCAAAGGGACTCAAGTCAGGTGAACAAATCAGAGAGAACAGTTCATTATACGAGGTTCATTATACGAGGATATAATGTTGTAATACTCTTACAGAATCTCCCCTCGACAACAAAATCTCCATTAAACTGAGCTGGTAATTGTCATTATGCAGTTTAAGAGAACAGGATATCACTTACTTCAGCTTAGGCAGTCTTCCTTGCATATTAGTTGGACTCACAATGTATTATATTTTTGCTTCATTTACAAGTCCTACCTTTTGTCCACCATACTTGCATTTGGTCCAATGATATGTCCATGTTTATCCGTCCATTTGTATGTGAGGAGGTATCTTGTAGGTTGAAAAAATAGCCACACAAAAACATGGCATGTGTTGCTGGTGGTAATATTTATAACTCTAATATAGGAATAGGATCGACAAATGGCCTTGTAAGTCGTTGAATATTGGAAAAATGTATTTTGTTGGAACTAGTTTTTTAGTAGCAACTGGCTTTCATGATTCCAGAAGACTAAGTGGATCCACCACCCCAACTTACTGTTCCCCTTCTCACCCTGCCCAAAATTGAGAGAGTGAAGTTTCCGGTCCGAGGACAAACTATTGTGATTTGGCAAATCAATTTGACATGATGTCTGCAATTTGTCCCAGATTGTGCTTTTTAAGATTTGCTGATGTCAAAATGAGACGTGTATTTCCAGAACAGCTGATAATTGCTTTTCAGGTTCTGTACTTAAATTAAAAAAATATTTTTGTGTCAAAATCTCTTTTAGAAGCAAATTATTGAAAAAAATAAAAAAATGTATTTAAAATAAATTACTTGCATATCAACTAGATGTTCTGCTTGCTATTTTAAAGTAGATACCTACTGTAAACTTTTATGGTTGTGTTTGATGTTTAAAAATATCTGTTTAGAGACAAGTTACTTATGGAAGATATTTAAAAAAAAGATCAACAGGTTCGCCCGATTAATTTAATAGAACATCCATGTGAATCTATTTTGACAGCGAAGGAGATGGCGTGGCTGTTTTGGTGGGTTTTCATGTTTTGGTTCTCAAAAGAGAGGGAAACGTATTGTTCCAGCTTCTCGAATGCCAGAAGGAAACTCAAGTGGAAATCGCCCAAATGGGGCTCAAGTAGTGGGTGTCTCTAACCAAGCAACATCCCTGACTCCCTCTCTACTTGCTCCCCCTTCTTCACCTGCATCTTTTACAAACTCTGGCCTTCCCTCTACAGTTCAGTCTCCAACAAACTTCCTATCTCTGTCTGCAAATGTTTGCTCACCAGGAGGTCCTTCTTCCACCATGTATGCTACAGGGCCATATGCCCATGAAACCCAATTAGTCTCTCCCCCTGTTTTCTCAACTTTTACAACAGAGCCCTCTACAGCTCCCTTCACTCCTCCACCTGAGCTTGCTCATCTTACTACCCCATCATCACCTGATGTACCATTTGCCCGGCTTCTCTCTTCATCCATTGATGTCAAAAACCCTAACAAGGAAAATGGAGTGCCTTCACCTTTCATGTCTCCTGGTTATGAGCCAACAGGTGATCTTCAAGCCACTTATCAACTCTATCCAGGAAGTCCAGCTAGTCATCTAGTCTCTCCAAAGTCTGGTGTCTCTGGTGATGGTTTGTTATCCCCATCTCTCCCTGATTCAGAGTTCCCAATGCAATGGGGAACTTCAATTCCAAAGAATGAGCATTCTAAGCTCTTTGGTCTCGATATCCCAACATCAAGAAGCTTTATACTATCTCAAGAGGATGGATTCCTTTACCCCGCCACTTCTCCACAATTTTATCTAGACCAAGCTCAGCAACCAGGTGCACCTCATTCTCACTGTGCCGGGAGGCTCAGTCTTTCCAGAGAGACAGATGCATATTCTAATGGTGGAAATGTGCACCAAAATAGGCACAATGTTGAGGAGATTGAAGCGTATCGAGCATCGTTTGGGTTCAGTGCAGATGAAATTATTAGCACGCCTCACTATGTGGAGCTCTCTGATGTGCTCGAGGACTCCTTCACTATGTGCCCCTTTCCAACCCACAATACGTGCAGTGGGGAGTGTTCGGATTTTGATGTGAAGAATGAGGGAGAAGATATGGCAGTGAAGCACACAAACTTTTTAGATTTCAAGTATCTGAATTCCTCGTTAAGTAAAATTGATGAGGGATTGGATGGACGGAATCAAAAGGAAGCTAATAAAGAAGTAGCTGGTATATTATCTTACCTATGTTTGACCATATTTAATTTCTTTTCCATGTTCTTTTTGATAATAAGATAAATGTTAAATTGTTTGGAATGGGTTCACTGTCCATGGTGCAAGTTAGTAAAAACTCAAAACAATGATAATATAATAGCAACCGCAACAACTTTTAGTTTATGATATTGAATCTTTTGTATGATTCAATGATGATGATAGTGATAGAATCATCATCATCATTATCATCTGTGTCTTATCCCACCTGGGGTCGACTACAAGAATCATGTTCCTTTATTCTGCTAATCGGTTCAGGATTCATGAAATAGATGTGGCAAAAATCTTATGCTGGTTGCCTGCCTAACAAAACCCCCCTCTTTTGCCCAGACTTGGGGCAAGCCATGGTGGTGGTGATAAAACAATAATAGTAAATAAACAATTAATAATCATTTGTGCAACTGATATACTTTTTTCTGGTTCTGTTGTCCCAGATGTTGCATTATGTGAGCCTTGTTCACCAAATGATTATCATGATATTTGTGCTAAGGTTGGTCAAACCCAATGTTCCCCTAGGGCACGAGGGAACTTCGAACTGGAAAATGGTGAACGAAACACCTCACCTTCCTCCCATTCAGATGGAGAAGCTATTAAAACTTGAGCTCTGGAGAGATGCAGAAAGTAGCAGCTGAGTCCTCACATGATAGTGCATTGTGTCATGGCTGAGTTCCCCGCCTATTTGTAGGGTTTTTTTTCCCGGATGGTTTGGCATCATGTTAGGGTTAAGAGGTCTGTATGGTTTTTTGTATTCAGGAACCTTCAATGATCTTGCTAACTTTGCTTGAGTTCTAAAGAAGCAAACCAAGTTAACTCGTGAAAAGAAAAGCGAGAGGTTTAACTCTGTGCTCTGGTCTGGTTTTTCTACTGGTTCCATGGGTATGTGTATTGTTTTCCCTTGCTTATTTTGGACTTGTATTTGTGTACTTAACTTCCATTGTAGTTTGGAAACTCAGCTTGCTAGATGCTAAGCTTATCAGTACATACTGTCAAAGGAGCTTGCACTGTGAGCCAACTGATATAACTGGCACCTCTATTGGGGGGTTAGAGAGAGAGACTATGTAAATATATCTTTTGCTGCACTTGCCCTGTTTTTTTGTGCTTTTTTGTGGGCATGTCTATGGATTTTTATTTGTGTGTGGTATCAAGTGAAGGTGTATAAAAGGTAAAAGTGTTATTTTGTTGTGGAAAAGTGAGATGAATTTCGTGTTATAGTATGGCAAAAATTAGCAAGGTTTGAGCAAATATTTTGATTCCATGAAATTCTGCTTCTTCTTTCTTCTTATGTTTTTGGCAATGTATCGAGACTCCACCTGGTCTTGTTGGGTAGAATGTGTGGCTATCGCTTATCATGTTGCGGGTTCCAATCTCCTCACGAGCAGTGTCTGTTGTTTTGTTTGCACGTAACTCGGGTTCCAATCTCCTCACGAGCAGTGTCTGATGTTTTGTTTGCACGTAACCTTTTTTTTCTTTTTACAAGTTAAACAGGTAGTTATAAAAACTCAAGTTTGGGGATCGAACTTGCGACCTCTTGAATGTTTGCACGTAACCTTTTTTTTCTTTTTACAAGTTAAACAAGTAGTTATAAAAACTCAAGTTTGGTGATCGAGCTTGAGACCTCTTGAATAGAGAACCAACACGCCTTTTAGCATTTAATGTCAATAGGTAAACACTTTATGAAAGAAAATCCATGTGATATTTTGTCAGGAAATACAATTTTATTTTTTATTTATTTTTATATCTTTAATGATAATAATAACTTTTTTTTTATTTTGGCAAAAGGATCACTTACATTTTTTCTTTTTACAAGTTAAACAAGTAGTTCTGAAAACTCGAGTTTGGGGATCGAGCTTGAGACCTCTTGCATAAAGAACCAGGATGCCTTTTAGCATTTAATGTCAATATGTAAACACTATATGGAAGAAAGACCTATGTGATATTTTGTCAGGGAATGCTAATTTTTTTTTTTTTTTTTTATCTTTAATGATAATAATCACTCATTTTTTATTTTGGCAAAAAAATCATTTACAAATGGTCTTATTACAATCAATAAATATTTCAAAACTAAAACAACACAACAATAAAATAAAACTCAACCGTTTGATGTCATTTATACAACCTAATACTATGTTTGAGAATATAAAATAAAAGAGCAAGTAAATAAAAGATAAGATGCAGGAGATTATCTCAACCGGGCTTATTACACTCCACACCGAGTCACCACATCCAATGACACGGGATTTATTACACCTCACATCGAGTCACCAGATCCAATGACATGGGATTAGCAGTCTAGCTTCAATCTCGAACCAGGAAAGCTAATTTCGGAAAAATTAGGTATGCACCATTAAATCTCTCTAAAATCCTAACTCCAAAATAATTAGGCTCAAACCCATATGTGACATATGTGGGGTCCCACCCATTTGCCACATGGTGGGCCCATGTACACTACGGGCACCCATGAAAATTTTATAAATATTTTAAAATTTCATTTAAACATTATTTGAATTTTATATAATTTATAAAATCAATAACTTCATTTTTATAATTCAAAAAATCATAAATAAAACATTGAACGATTCATAAAAATTCAAATAATAAATCTAAAATAATTTCTATAATAAAATGAATACAATTAAATTAATATGTTGAGAAGTGGATCCATATGGTTCAAGAATTCTATTAACGATCACGGGGTACTCCACCTTCAACTGTGGACTACATACCACACTTGCTTTGTCGAACCGACCAAGTGTTTCCCATGACCCACAGTCCAAACAGGAGCGGATTAGCGGGTCACCAAAGTCTGGTTGATGAGCCAAAGAGTCTCAATCTCAGTCTGTGGATTACAGGTCCTCCCCTAAAGATAAGTCAAAGTCACCACGACCTAATGCGATCACAGCTCTATGACACATAGAGGTATCTCTCGCACAAGCATACGCTTCACCCAAAGGTGAAAATCTGGCTTTCCCAAACGATCTATTTATATGCATGCTGTGTGATGGATCATGGATGATATTTTAGC